ATTTTTCAGAACGTTTGAGCCTTTCTAGGCAACCCATGAATGAATTGTCCCTGGTCATCTGTTTGAGCCTATTGATTTAATTGCCTTATTCTTCTTGTACAACAAAAAATGTCCAAACCTTTCACCCTAAATACTTTCTCATACCTTTTAGGAGAACTTTAGACCTAGTGTATAATATAAAAGAGTAGAGAGGCGTGTGAAGAAGTGATGGATTAAAAAGTTCAAGTTTGAGGGTTGTAAGAAAAGGCAATAAAAAGGGGGCAAGCAACCCCAATTGTTTTTGAGTTCAAAGAAATAAAAAAACTCTGTATTGTGAGGAAACGATCATGAATGGCAACGGAAACAAAAATTATTTTGATATTATAGATCGTTCCTTTGAACCAAGATCAGGGCACAAATTTATAATTTATACAACATATTAAAATCTACAGTAAAACAGCTCAAGGTTAATAAACTATACCCACGTTGGAGGCTCCTCCAATATGTCTCGGAATGGGTTTCGCTACCGACCCAAGTTTAGGATCGAACCAATGTAGTCCACACGAAGACAACCTCAAAGAACTAAAGAGGGATTTGCTAGATTCTCTTTAGCCTTTAAAAACCAAGATGAAAAACAAATTAAATATTGTCTTCAAGCAAAAAAAATCTGGCGTGAGAGAGAAGAAAAGGGGTTGGAATATTTTGCTTTCAATGAACGAATTTTTTTTTTTTTTTTTTTTAATATTTCACAAAGTGTGCACTTATATAGTGCACACTATACCCTATTCCATCATGGAATGGGTTTGGGCTCCAACCCAAACACCCCTTGTTTCCAAACACCCCCTTTAAGATATTTTTTAATTTTAATTTATCATTATCTCAATTAAATTCAATTAATATATATATATATTAACATTTAAAAATAATGATAATTTATTTAAATATATGCGAACACATATTTAAACGTAATCTCACTTATTTAATTTTAATATCAAATTAAATAAAGGCTACAATCTCAGCAAATTTAATTGCACTGTGAAATTACCAAAATACCTTTTCACCTAAGAAGACGAAAACCCCCTTCTTCTAAGCTGGCTCTTAAATTATCTTTTATGTGTGTGACACATAGGCTCCTCATCATACCGGTAGCGTATAGTATCGCGATTAACACCAATTAATCGTCTCACTACACACAGACCAAGATTAGCCCCTAGCAAGGCATCATAGCCACCTGATAGATTCGGATTCAGCGAAGTAGCTACCTGTCAACGATATGGTTACCGTACAATTCGATCCTTTCATCATCCGTTATCTCAACGAGACCGAGGCATAGAAATAGTGTCAACCTTCGGTTACTCTCGATATTGTGTATTCAGTTACTAGACCAATGACCTGTATTATAAACTAGATAGAGCAACAACTCAATCCCATTGTGGCCACAGTTTTAGTGTCATTGCCATTTATTGAATTGCGCCATAAGATAACTTCTCCCATACCCGAGAGTGATGAATCCTCTATCTATCCACTATAGTCTTGATACACTCCTTGATATAGTCAATCACCACCGTATTGACAGCTCTGAATAGAACTGCGTTAGACTAGTGTCAAACTACACCAATCGGTGTACAAGGCGCTCCGGTGATCTTAAGTCTAAGGATCACATGCATCACCATTCGTTAGAGGATTTGTTCCATAAACACTGGGGTTACCATCCATATGGAATCCTCTGGTGGATCAGTCCAATGAACTTGCCTACAGCAAGCACCCATGTGTTGCATCTGGTTGTCACCAAACAACCTTGACAAGTGAGATCAATCACTGCCTTTCGACAGGGTCATTCAACACTATGATAGCCTTATCGTATTATATATGCCCTTACTTCAAAATAATACTGGGGCTACAGACGTTTCTAGAATGGCCACCATATGTGCTCATAGGGTTCTTACTATCAAGATTTGAAACACTTGATACCCTCGTCACGGTTCTACCATTCTAAAGACATATATCAATACATACAATGATGATTTACGCGATATAGAATAAAATGCATTTTATTGATCAATGAATATTATTACAAAGAGTCAATTCTATAATAATTTATTGGCTCTAGGGCATCTACTCTAACATGTATATAGTGGTATTTAAAGCTTTTAGATTTCCTTATGCATTTCCAACACAAAAATAAGAAATGCATGAGTTTGGGAGTTATGAAAAAGATCGTAGAAGTTGGTTGGAAAATGAGAAAGAATGGGTTTTGTCGATGTTGCTCTTTGTGTTTACATGAGGAAAACCGAGTTCTCTTGCTTTGTTTTTCCTATCCCTTCTCTCGAGCCACTCACCCAAGCCTAATGTTACAAGCCAACAATGACCTTTTGATCCTTAGTGATGTCTAGTCCTCATTAGTGGAGAGTGGTTCGATACTTAGGCTTACGGAGTCTACCACCCCTTTGATAAACTTCACATTTCTGCATAAAATAATCTGGGAAGTCAGAAGGTGGATTGAAGTGGGGATTACCTACTTAGGGGACTGATAGAGAAAGATAGTCAATCAATTTATAACTTCTTGGAATGTTAAGCATTTTCTTGTAATAATGTATCAATAATTTTTTAGACTTGCATTTGCAATCAATTCTAAACATTTCTTTTGTGTTTGATTTAAATTTTCCTTTTCTTTTTGAATCTTTTTTCTTTTATATTATTCTTCTTCAGTCTCATTTTGTTCTTGATGCTCGAGGATGAGCATGCCTTAAGTTTGGGGGATTTGATAATCCTAGGATTATACTGTTTCCTTTATGTTTTTTGTAGGATTTCGGATACTTCTTATTAAGTTTTGTGCTTAAATTACTACTTAAATTTGTATATTTTACGTTTCAAACCAAAACATGCAGTTGGAGCAAAACCGAACAAAAATAAGTTTCTGAACCTAGAATCAAGCGAAATTCAGGAATCGGGGGAATTTTGATGCTAATTGGAAGCACTGTGAAGTTTGTTCTTATTGGGGATCACGAAGATCGAAGACTCAAGGAAAGAAGCAAGCGGAGGGTAGTTTCATAATTTCAACAAAGATCAGCAAGACTGCACCGCGACAGGGTTCTCTCTTTGTCGCGATAAGCTAGCCTCTGGACAGATGGTTCAACAAAATTCAAATCGATGCCGCGACGAGAATCTTCTTCGCCTTGGCGAAAACTACAAAAATATATTTTTTGTAAAACATTGCGTTTTACTTGTATTGTATTAGTTCCTAGGGTTTTGGCCGACTATTTAAGAGAGACTTGGTTCATTTTTAAGGGGAGGTCGACATTTTTAGATAAGGGGAAGAGAAGTAGGACATTTCAAGAATTTGGGTCTCCAAATTAGAGAAGAATTCATTCCTCTTTCAATGTCTAATATGTTGAATTCCACATTTACAGTTAATGTGATGCTTTTCTTTATTTTGAGCATGAACTAACTCACTTTTGGGTTAGGGTTTTGATGTAACTTGGATTACAATGGTTTACTCTATAAATTTGTGTTGTTTTTTAGTTCTATTGCTTGAATTATGTGTTTGTTCTTGTACTTAATGCAAGTGGATGTTGGTTTCTTTTGATTCAATTAAATGTTGAGCATGATGAGACTGAGAAGTGATTCATGTGTTAACTTCTTAGAGTAAACACCGTAGATTAAGCAAACGCTAGAGATAGGTTTAACGATCTATGAAATCTTTATAGGATTCCATTTAGCTTAATAGACTTTTAATTACATTTAAGAGTGATACATTTGATTTACAATTTTTATTCTTCTTTTATATATATATAATCTTAGGACATAGGCTATATGATTGCCGTTTTGAAGAGGTAGAATTCCTTCATTTTGCCACGTAGGCAAATTGTCTGACATTTTGGTTGCATTTGATAGGTGCTGATTTGAATTCTTGACATTTGGCTAGAATTTATTGGTCGTATTGTGGCAGAGATTAATGAGTTGGATTTAGTGGTATATGTGGCTTCATATAATTGGTGTTTGATATTGTTTGTTATTAATGACAGATATTAATAACCTTATTGATTGTTGTTTGTTATAAATATTATCATTTATATAGGGGAGAACAACATTTTCCCACCCAAGGTTTGGTGAAACGACACTTTTCCCACCCTTCAAGTTTCAAAATGACACGTTCCCACCATTTGTTAGGTTCTGTTATGTTTTCTTTTAATATTTGACTTAAAAGATGAAAATACCCTTAAATATTTGAATTTATTATTTTTTAATTAGCCAAAAAATCAAATATTAAAAAGTCGAAAAAGAAAAAATAGTTAGTCCCAACTAAAAAGTTAAGAGTAATGTTATGAAATTGTTTAAAGTTAAATAACCTTAATATTTATTTATAATGTCATCAATACCTCATCACTATTATTCAATAATCTACTAAATTTATAATGTTTTTTCATAATATAATGTTTTCATTTTTACTAAGTAACATAGAAAATCAATAGTCCTAATTAATTAAATAAACAAAGGAAAAAAAAATATCTTTACGCTTAAACTAATAAATAATCATTATGACTTAACTAAATTTTAATTTATAATAAACTAATTAAGAAATAAACTATTTAAGTGTATTTTTGTCTTTTTAGTTAAATATTAACAAAAAAAAAAACAAACAGAATCGGACAAAATGTGGGAAAGTGTCATTTTGAAACTTGACGGGTGGGACAATGTCATTTCGCCAAACCTTGGATGGAAAAATGTCATTCTCCCTTTATATAGAGATAAATTTATGTAAATCTAAAGGCTCTTATATGTTGTATGTCATTCGTAATACATTTATGTAAATTTCAAAGGTTTGTTAATATGAATAGTTTCATAAGTTTTTATTTTATTACATTGTATGTGTTATGTGTTGCTGTTTAATATAAACAGTTAAAGATATTTACGAGAATGTAATTGGGACATTCGAAAAGTCTTTAAGTAAAACTTGGTTAATTCTCACATAAACACTGATAGAATATTATTAAACATGTGACATCATGTAATTGGAGCATCCAAAGGTTTTGACATGATGAAATATTATTAAACACATTCACATGTAATTGGGGCATCATGTAATTCGAGCATCCAAAAGTCTAATACAAACTTGATTAATTTTCAAGTAAAGACGACCATTCACATTCACATGCAAACGATTTGAATGGTGTTAGTCCCTTCACATTTACAAGACTCTAAGTCAGTTTCGCAGTCTCTCATTTTTCCACCAAAGCTACAGAGAAATTTCATCTTCCCAATTGGAGACTCATCCAGAACTCCTGGCCCGTAAAAGTTATTGCCACAGGAAGACTCTTAACACAAAAGTGGGTTGAGATTCTTATCATTTAATTTTCTTGTTGGGTCCAGCTTTTAGGTTTTTATTTTTCAGCTCCCAAGAGTTTTCATCGCCTGATCTAGAGACATCGCCCGTTGTTGCTAAAACTGATGTGGCAAAAGCAACACCACCTGATAATTTTACTATTGATGTGTAATAATGAAAAAAAAAAAATACTATTATTAATCTTTTATTCACTGTATAAAAAAACTTACAATAAAATATTGTTTTTCAGATAAAATTTATATGCAATTAAAATAAAATATTATTTATTAATTGAACATTCTATTAAATATGTGATAATATATTATATCAATCAAAACTATTACCAAAACAATGTATACAATAAAATACAAATAGCAATTAATCAAAATATTGAAATTTGAAAAAAAAAAAAAAAAAGTAATGTCAAAATTAAATTCATAACCAAATAAACATGATTCAAAAGATAAACAACGTGTCGAAAACCAATTTCAAAAGCAACCCACGGGCTTTCAACTAGTTTTATATATAAATTTATAGTGTAACTTTTGAAAAAAAAATTCTTTTGGTTTTAAAATTATTCCTTTATTGTTTATACTTCCGGAGGGAATTGTTGTGTAAAGTGTTACTTGGGGGGTCCAAGGTGAAAAGTGAGTTCTTGTAAAAATTAATTAATTAATTTTATTTTTTTTAAATATTTAGAAACCTCTAAGGGATGAATTAAAAGATCTATCATTCTATTTAAATAACATCAACACTTAATCTAATGTAGTTTCATGCACATCATTCATAGTTAATTTAAAATACAAATTACAAGTTAAACTCTAATTATTATTTATTAATTTGACATTATTTATTCCATTGTTTTAAAACCCAACCGAGCCTGACCGGTTTAACCGGTTCGACTGAGAACCGACCACTAAGCCGAGTTGGGCCGGTCAAGTTGAAAAACCAGGAATATGAATTAACCCGGTATGACCCACAATTGGACCGATGTTATTGTAACAACCCATCGATCCAACCGATTTAGGGGCAAAACCGGGTTAACTATTCTCCAATAGTAAAATCTAATTCCAAATCCCTAATTTTGAGTTTTATCACTGGAGCATGGTTTTTGGCTCTCTAATTTAGGGTTTATTCCTTGTTAAAGTGGAGAACAAGAAGTAAGGGGAGGGGAAGGAAGAAGTGGCCGGTCCGATTTGGACCTCATTTGGCCAGATTGAAACTGCCAAGGCCTTCTTAGCCGTCAAGTGAAGTAAGGAGGAGGGAAAGGAAGAAGAAAGAGAAGAGGAAATGAAGAGCAAGAGGAAGGAAGAAGGAAGAGAAGAGGAGACCAAGAGAAGAAAAGAGAAAAAAAATTACAATAGAGAGAGGGGAAAGTGATGGGGAGAGAGAAATAAAAAACAAAAAAAGAAAGTAACAGGGAGAGAGAAAAGAATAATAAAAGCTACAGGGGTGCGTTTGCTTTATTTCAAACTTACAGGGACTTATGAAAATTTTAGGGGTGTGTCTATAATTTTCAAACTTATAAGGACTGATAGAGTTGTTTAAGAATGTATCTATTGTACACCAGTCAGACCGACCGGTTAGACTTATCAATCTGAGAATTGGCCCCTTGACCAAGTCAAGGAGCGGTCCAGTTTTTAAAACATTGATTTATTCACAAAGTATAGCCCTAATTATTGTCTTAATAATGTAAAAAAAGAAAGGAAATAATCACTTCCAACTACCCTCTCATAGCCGTTACATTGCAATTAATCAATGACCATAAATATATGTTGTAACTTAAATTAAAAGATGCTAACCCTATTCTAAATATTCTAAGAATGAGACCATCATTACATAGTATTAATTAAAGATTATTGATGACATTTAAATGAAAAATTTTTATGAGAAACATGGAGGAGCTGACTCTTGAGCTATTGGAAGAATATTATATAATTGATGAGTCAAGCAGAAGTCACAAATATAAAATAATTTTCATCAGTGTAGTAGAATGTGGTTGACATATAACAACATTAGAAGAAAACCATCATGTGAAATGTGACTCTGAATGAAGTTAGAAGAAACAAGAGTACATATGATATGATATAATGTGAGCTGGAGTCTTGACTATTGAAGAAAGATAATGAATGACATCCACTCTTGCTCGGTATAAAAGCAAAATGCTGCATGATTTGTGTGTGTTTCAGATTAATGAGACGTCCCTACTTTCTAACTCCGATCCTACAAACACATATAGGTATTGACATTTTAACGTTCACATCAGAATTCTAGTCACACCGTAAAATATTAAGACTAAAAATAATGGATGTCAACATATGAATGTTACCATTAAATGCCCAATGATCATATTTAAAAGCATTTTCTCATAAGCATATCACTGTTATCATTTTCTACTTTAGCCATATAAAACAAGTTATTTTTCTAATGTGAAACCAATTCAAAACTACTCATATTATGCATTTTGAATCCCAAACCAAGAACAATATAATGGTTAGGCAAATCTGTACACAAGTTTAAATGCATACCTAGCAACTGCGATTCCAACTATCTTCTAACTAAGGAGCACAATTTCTTTCAAGGAAATAAATCCTGAATATCAAGGATATCCGCCAGTACACCAGCTGCTGTTGTATCATTTCCAGCTCCAGCACCTTGAATGACTAATGGTTGTTCACCATAACAACGACTGTATATTTCCAACTGCAATTCAGTACGAAAATTAATAGTAAGTTTATCTGTAATAACTTAAGGTAAGTGCCTTTTTTTACCAGAAACAGCTTAAGAATGTAGGACATAGTCATATAAACAGAGTGCAGTAGATCTTGATGAGATTCTGAACAGTTTCAAGGATATCTTCACTCTACATAACATCTTAAGATGTTCAAGACTGTATTTTCAAAATGACAGCCACAGTTGTAGATTAAAAGCAAACGTGCTACACAGAAAATATTGAGGAAACTCATGCTGATAAACAGAAAAGTAACCCAGTTAATTGCCCAATGGCTACACTCCTAGATGCATCTAGATCGAAAGACATGAACCAAATTGTTTTTGTATGGTAATGTAACCTGAAGTTAAGAAAATCTGGTTTCTGTCCTTGTATCCCTTGTATCCTAACAATATAGAACTTAATAGAAGAGGCAGCAGAAAGTCGAAAAAATCTGATAGGCATAGTCATGCCTGACAAAAACACCTAGCTTATTCAGTTTCAATAAAGAGTCAACTCCCTCAGGTAGTAGTACTCTGTTCGACTAGTTTTGACAAATGGACCTCAATAATCCTATAGGTGTCAGTGAGCAGATTCTGGACCACCTCTTAATTTCAACAATTAAGAGCAAAGTCTACCCCTTTTCTATCATGGACATGCACATAAATTTAAACAGTTAGAAACTAATTATTTACTTTAGTTACTCCTAATACATGGCCATCACTCTTCAAATGTTACAAAGTGTGAAATCAAGCAACAAACCCACCGCCCCCCCCAAACAAACAAAAAAAAAAAAAAAAATCAGTGAAGCTGATAAAATTGAAATTGAATTCCCCCTGGAAGTGTCAAAGATCGGTAGATGGGACGCATTGCCCAATGCACCATCTCTATTAGAAAGAAAAATCCCATCAGACTGAGCCTCTGCAATCTCATCTCAAGGACCAGTTCTGTCTGATGGGGAATTGAAAATTGGGTACCAGTTATAGCATAGCAAACAATTTTTGGATAATAAATTCTCAGTAGTGTATCTACAACCTGCTAGTAAAAAAGGCATTCAATGACATGAATATACAATCTAATATTTGCTAATAAGTAATTTCAGTTTTGCCCTTATTACAAAATCGAAAGGATGATACAAAATGCACATCCACTATGATTAAAACTTTATTAGAAGTAAAGATATCACTTTCACTCAACAAAACTCCAAAAGTCAATAATTCAGATTAAGTGACTCTTTTTTGCTAATTAACTTAAAAAATTATATCCAGATAAGGGTGTGTTCAAACATGAACAATGATCTTTAATGTAGCCAACTATCCTTTGATATATATGAATTATATTTGTAGAATAATAAAAAACTTCTTTTTCCTCTCACATATGAACTAGAACTAGAACGTAGTGACAAACCATCAATATTAAACATCTCAACGTCAAAACAATTATACCCGATTATTAATCATCAACAGTAAATGTTATGAGTTCAATCAGCAATGGAGCTTTAGTCATTAACATATATATATATATATAAGAGTTTCTCTAGTAAGGACGTCCTTATATATATATATATAGGAGTTTCCAAGCATTTCCGACATTAAGACTGCCATTATCTGAGAGAGAGAGAGAGAGAGAGTACCACATTGTCACTTCCTCTTAATCTTCCCAAAGGAGAGTCCTTAGGAAGCTCTTGAATGCCAACTTCAACCCTGCTGAGAAAGTTAAATATCATAGGAAAGAAGCTTCTGTAGCTTAAGAGATTTGATGAAGGCTCAAACTAGAGTATTAGAAACCATACCAAATACTACTATCTATACCAATGTAGGAGTACATTACTATTAGCCCTTGTGGGGAAGCATGTTGGACAAATACAACCCACAAAATCAAGTTAACAAGAATCAAACCCGGTATATGAGATATACTAACATTTACTGAAACTAAAGATAGCTATTATATTTATGCTATATCGAATAAGTGGAGAGAGCCTTGAACACACAAGAGCCAAACTGTTCATAAAAATGAAATGCAAGTGTTCCTCCTGCCTGTTTCAGATCATTAGTCATAAACTATCATGCTCAGAAATAATGATATTGCTGCTGATATGTCTTTCGTATTGAATAATTGATCAGACATCTTACTGCCCATTTCTGACCATTACTCATCAATTTCGTAACCCAGACAATCAGGGAATTGTCAAATATTACATCCCAAACAAGTGGTAACCCAGAGAGTTGAACTTCTGATGTATGATTGAAACCGAAGACCTTTTACTCTCTCAATGCAATACTGCTGGGTTAATTTCATTTAAATAGATCCCTAAAAATAATACAGCTCCATCACAAACTACTTATATGATGCAGAATGGCCATTTTGCCAGAAGAAACCAAGAATATATTTCAACCTCAAGATTTAACAAAAGCTTAGCAGAAATTTGCTTTGATAATACTAAGTTTAGAGCATATTATATCAAAAGCAAAAGGCTCCATTCATCAATTTTCTTGGATATCGATGACTATGTAAGACTGATGAAATTGCTTGTAATATGTTTCTTCTGCATTGAATAATTGATCTGACACCAATTATCAAAGGTTGTGTAATGTTTCTAGACGTAGTGAAAGGTGGTATGCAACCAAGAAACAAAGCAAAGGCTTGAGACATTGTGACATCTTCCAAGCAAGAAGCATGTAAAAGATCATATCAGATTGCTGTGCAGGGAAATGGTCAACTTCTAGCTGGTGCAGTCAGTATAACTAAGATTCAGATCAAAAGGTTGCTTGTTATTCACTATCCTAACATCAAGGCACTATTAGAGATCAAATGCAAGTTAATGGTAACTTAACATGGTATCATAAACATGTAACTAAATGGTCTTGTCTTCAAATCCTCTCATTACACCGATTACAAGTTTATGTAAGTTGCATTGAGTTTTAGTGGTACTTGTGTGTGAGGAGGGCATGCTAGATCTTAAATCCTATTGTTGGTTGTAGAAACCTTACCAATCAACTTAATTTTTGGATTAGTGGTAAGAAGGGTGCTATGGCTAAATTCAACGTAGACCATGTGTGTGTGTAAATGTGCATTGAATAAAATTTAGAATGAAGTGGTAAGAATACCTTGAGCCCTCGATCATACAGACATAACGAAGCACATTCCCATAAAGAGAAGCCTTTCTAACTCTCTCCCCAATATCTTTATCGAGCAATGGAAGCCCGGTGCTCAAAAAGTCTTTAACTGACATTGCATTGGGTCCCATTTCTTCAGGGTACAAGCTTTCAATCTATGGAATAGAAATAAATATTACCAACAAAATTCAAAAAATAGATATTAGATAAATTACAGATTTGTCAGACAGTTCCTATGTTCAACCATGCATACTTATCGTTACATCACAATGGTCTTCCAAATAATGATAATAAAAAAGTTAAAAAATAATTTAGAGAGAGGGAGAGAGAGAGCGAGAGAGAGAGAACAAGCAGTGGCACCTACTTTGATGCTACCCATGTTGATTCTCCTCCCAAGAAGCCGAGCAAGGATCAAAGCCTATTTTAATATTAACACGAAACAAGCATGGCATGTAAGTATATGCATATACTTATGCTAAGCCAATTTATCTAAATTTTACATTCTCATTAAAATAAAATAAAAATAAAAAATAAAAAAATTGTTCAATAACTTTGGCTTAGTTAATCTTTGAGACTATACATTATCACATCATCAAAAACAGTTATGACTCAACAGTAGTTTATCCAAATACTAGATTTAATAATTCATAACTGTCCGTTGAAGTACTACATTTAGTAAGCCATAGTATAGATCAAGTTGTAAATAGAGCATAACATAAACTAGATTAGTGTAAATTATATGGACCCCATGGGATTTGGTGAAACATCAAGCACACTTAACACTTTTTCAAAAACAACATATCTTTTAGAATTGACTGTGGATGGTAGAATTGTCACGCATAATCTCATCTTTTCATTCAGTTAATATAGTTTGACTATTTTAACCTTAAACTTAAAACAAAAATATTTAGTATCACCTAATATTCCGATCTACACCCTCCCCTTTAGTAAGTATTATCCTAATCAACTTGCTATAAAGCAATTTGTTAGTAAATTGTACACTAAAAATGTTTAAGGCAGGAAAGGGTTACCTATTGCTCTAACACAGCTACAGTCAATTCCACAGATCACATTCAAAACAAATTTAACAGCACCCAGCAACCATTTTAATAGAAACAGATGCATAAAATCAGTGTTTCCTACACACCTCATATTAAAGAAAAAGCCCAGCACACCATTAACTTCACCCTCATGCTACCCCAGACCAACTTGTCCTTAACCTCCGACCAAAAAAGATTGCCTAGCTTTGGTTTATCCCTACTTCCACCATGCTAAATCAGTTAGGTATCCCAGCTGAAGCCAGGTCCATAAATATTTTCCGTTCAACAAACAAGTGATAAAAAGTTCCCACCTCACTCATTCCATGTCCCAAACTAAATTAGGGTGGTGGAATTAGACATATATCAAATTCTGTTGATTATGAAAATATTAGGAACAATGATGAGGTTGATAGATACCCACTCCAGTATCTCAAACACACACAACCAAAATAGTAAAAATCACCAATAAACAAACCCAGAAACACACACAAGAACACTGCACAAACCCTGAAAACAACCAGAATATATATATTGATATTAAGCCGGTCTACACTAAGTCAAGAACAACTTCAGCTCAGCAAACATTAACAAGTAAGATTAACAAAAGAAGGATAAAACAAAACAAAACAAAATGAACACAGCCTGCTGGACTTCGAGGACCAGCTCCTTGATGAATACCTCCACTTTAGAGTCCCTTCTCACACACAATCCAGAACACAAACCAAACAACTCGCAGCAAACATCAAGAATACACACCAATCGAACAGTAAACAAGGCAACAGACTCAAAATAACAAAGTAGCTAAAAGTGAAAAGTAATATTCATTGCAATATCTCTGTATCAACAAAAACAACTGGAATAAAATGAGAAACAAACTGGTCTTCGAGGGTCAGCACCTCCCAAACAACTTTTACCCAGACATTCAGAATAATCACCCACAAACGCGTCCCTATTCTTTTATTCTGACACTCAGATCCTAACGAACTGCCCAGGCCACCTGTCACCAAGCTAATTACCCTTTTTAACCCCCCTCTTTCCATACGCGTTTGTACAATTTAGTAACACCAGGACCATCACTCCTCCCTAAATGCTAAGCTTCGAGGGCTAGCTCCTCCCTATTTTCCCAATTTCCTCTCGATAAAACAGTTCTCTCTTTCTCCTTCTGTTTATTCTCATCACATTCTCTCTCAATAACCGAATTTCCCTTCCTAACCAACCAGTATATGCCATCTGTCCCAGCCAAAATATACTCCTTAACACCTTTCTACAATAAGAATCTTCCTAACACCTCTCTTTTTATCTGCTGCCAACTCCCTTACCTTTCCTTCCATATACCTTCATCATCGTAGTTTCATCATTATTTCAATATTCTGTTGTTTCCCAGAATAACCATAATATTGAATAAAAGAACTAAAGTCTTGTTGATTCTGAAAACAAGTACAAAAGGGACAATTTACTACGTCTTTTATACTTATTAAAACATTCTGTGCATTACAAAAAAACAAAAAAGGAAATAGGGAAAAAAAAAAAAGAACTGAAGTTACAATCATTTTCCAAATCCTAATGTCTATTGTCCTTTTGTTTTAAAGTAATCTAAATACCAAGTGTACAATTTCAACAATACAAATTATTGTGATGACGTCAGACAAATTAGTGATTGTTAGTTTATCTAAGTACATCAGAGCTTGTAGCATAGGGGCTTAAAATTGCATTAAACATAACAAATCAACAATATCAAGAACAAAAAAATCCAAACCTTCCTGGCAACATCCATCCCACTGAGGTCATCACGTGGATCTGCATTAAAATTAATATAAAACTGTATCAATAAAAAAATCTAGTTCTAATTTTTCAGGAGCCAATTCCAAGAGAATGGTACCAACTATGTCTTAATAAGAATGAAAGTAACCAAGCAAAACCAATCACAATAGTTTTTTTCCTTTCCATGTCAAGCCCTCAAGAGAGGAAGTTGTGTTTTTGTTTGTTCTTAATGGTTGAAGAATTTGCTAATAAAAAAAGTACCAAGAAAACTTGGGTCAAAGTACAAATTACTATAGAACAAAATTAATAGTCTCACGGAACTACTGACTTCAGATTCATGGATTAGATACCAATTTCTACTGTAATTTAAGCCTTCTTAACAGTACAGGCACATAGGAACCTCATCAGAGTCATCAGTCGCTAAAGCTTCAAATTGAATCTTATTTTACATATAAACCATGGAGATTCTATAGTTTAGAAATTCAATACAGTGCATCAAATTCTTGCTTTGGTACTACTTTTATAGTTTCACCTTATCAGGATTCAGATTCCATAAAGTTCATTGGATCAACCCCACCTTGTCAACTATACGAACCAAATCAAGGTTTTTTATAATTAGAACCCAAATCTACTGGTCACAGCTTAACAAAGCTCAGAACCATCATTTCATTGAAATTTTTTTAAGCTGTTCATCATTTTCTTTTCTATCTTTTGATATTCTAAGATTTATCAGAACATATGATGTCCTAGTCACAATCATTTAATCTCAAATATGATGCAAACCTTCTGTTTAACAGATTCCACAGCTATCTTTATTTGCATTTGTTACCCAACTTATGCTAGCTATAACCTTCTGTTTAACAGATTCCACAGCTATCTTTATTTGCATTTGTTACCCAACTTATGCTAGCTATAAAGTTTTCGGGATTTATTACAATCATGATACTTGCTTAATACATACCTTCAGCGTAGGTTTCATCCCTCAAAAGGTTTTATAAGACTACACAATTTTTTATCACTAATTGTTTATAGTCATACTTCAACTTCTGTTTTTCTGTATTCTGCTCATGATTCGTTTCAAATTTCCAAAGAAGTCAAAATAAATGTGTTTCACCTATTGTTGGAAGAGTCAATGTAGATTTAGCATGGTAAAGAAATAAATAGTTTAAACTGGATATTCTTTTCCTTTTGGCTTTATATCTCCACTTACAGAACTCTTGTAAATGCTTTTCTAACTGTTTCATTACAAAAGATACATTAACTAGAAAAGATTGTCCAAAAAAGAAATCGAACAAACACCAAAACAGAGGAATATTTTATGGAACCACAACAGATAGCCTATAGCCGCACTAGGCAATGACAAAAAGGGTGCTTCAGGAGAATTTCAGAAATGTTGAAAGATGAATACATTTCCCCCCAGTTTATGAATGAAAAATTTTCATCACACCGTCCCTTAAATTCTTTAGATGGAACGAACTACAACTCTGTAATATTTCACAAGGATTCTTTCTTATTATAACATTTTTTTTAAGGCCCTTATAAGGCAATAATTTTTCTTTTTTTTTTTTTTTTCTTTTTTTTTTTGAGATATAATATCATTTGATTATAATACTCTTTTTTTTTTTCCAAATAGACAAACCTTTGATTATAATACTTGTTGTCAAACAAGATTCACTAAATTTCCTCTGTGAATAAAATAAAACTTAAAATGTCAAGAGTATAAATGTACAAGTTACAAGAAATCAAAGAGATGTAGCACAATCAGTAAAAATAGTATCTATACATTTTTTTTAAAAGAAAAAATTACTAAGACATAATTCATTTTCAAGAGTGGAAACCTTTTCTATACATATATGTATACATAATACATGCATACACATACTTGGCAAAAGCAACAAAATACAGTGAACAAATTTACTGCAAATGTAGAACTTTAAAATCACATCAAAACCTGGTTCTGTGTATCCTAGGCTTTTTGCAGCTTTAACAACTTGGCTTAGAGGCTTCCCATCTTCAACCTCACTCATTACATACCCCAATGTACCTGTTACAGATATTTTAGGCAAATCAAAGCCAATATACATATATAAATGATGGTCACAGAGGAATATAAGCAAGCCACAAAAGAAACATTAAATAACTGCATATAGACATAATGAATGTCAGAAAAAAATTGTACCACTCAAACTTCCAACAATACGATGGACAGGGTCTCCTGATAAAATCATCCGATTTAGAGATGCTATGACAGGAAGGCCAGCACCAACCTATTATGATAGAAGCATCAACTCAGCTAAAAATACGTGAGATACTTCACTAATAACCATATAATAAATGTGACTAAACAAAATAATAATCCCAGAATAAATCACACAGCTAACATCAGAGAAAGAAATTTATTTCACTTCCAGCAAAAACTATGACGTAAAAATATAATTTCACCATATTTTATACCTTACGATATTACACCTCAGGAGGCAAACTCTACCAAAAATTACATAAGATAATGGATGTACTCACCCCTAGGAGGTGAAAAATTCTATATAGATCCAAAGAATCACCACAATAACCATATCAAAACTACCATTTTAAGAACAATGAATTGCTCATCTCACTATGAGAATATTGTGTGGCTTTTACTACTCAAATGACTTTTCATCACGTTCCCTCAACTATGAAATGATTATTTCAAATCAAACAGCCCACAACCAAGCACTAGAAATAGTCCCACAAACTGTCACTAGAAATTGAATTTTGTTACACTAGAACCAACAAATTTTACAAGCTTCAAAGTAAAAGGCACAAAATTGCAATTCCCAGGTGCAGGCATCACCTGATACAAAAGCACCTGGCAACTGAGTATCAGCAACACAATAAGAAAGATAATAAATGGATAAGAGTTATAATTCCAACACTAATTCTGGCTTTCTATGTATGTGTTGCAGCCTAATTGCATCTTTTACCTGTTAATTTCAAATTTGAGTTCTTTTTTAATAAAGTTCAATAAATAGCAATACAAGCTTCATGCGGAAAAAATTTCACTCACCGTCGACTCATGCCGAATGCGGCGTGGATGTGAGACTAATTTGTCATAATCCTCCTTCATGACAGAGTAAGATAAGATTTTAGAGACATTTCACATGTAATAGCATAACTTGTGAGAGAATTTTTTAAGCATGAATAAAGAACAAAGCCACAAGGTAGATACCGAGACAGCAAATAAGAATGATGTTCAATTAACAGAATAATTATATTGCTCTCTTGATTCCAACCTAATAAACCTTATAAGCAATTTAAATAAGGAAAAACAGTTATTATTCCCTGGCCACCATAATTTCTTGATTCAATAGAAATTTTTGTAGGAAATGATACCGTTAAGTAACAATCTCAAATGATAAAAAGATCAAAAGTAATGGCATTGCTTAAATTTTAATAACTGCATGAAATACTTGCACGTCAAGTTTCTAAGAAACAGTCTATAAGTTTGTTCATCAGAGTGGATCTACATAAGAAGCTATAAGAATGAAATGGGGCAAAATCACAAGATAGCCACACATGTCAAATTATTTCCATTTGCCAACTACAAAGAAAAACTTAAAGAGTAACTACCATTGTAGAAGTAAGAGGCTTCTTATTTGCCAGGACAATGCAACAACCCAAATCCACCACTTGGGCTAACACTCCAACAGTCTCAGAACTGGCAGAACAATCCACAAAGGCCAAACCTATTACAAAATTAAACAAATTAAGATTCTCCAAAATCTAACAACAACTATGAAATTCACTTTACTAGAGAACTGCAATCACAAACCTGTCACTTTACTGAGAAGAGATGCAATGTCCAAAAATTTCCCTCTTAATTCAGAATCCATAAACACTTGGCATTCACCTTTTGAAAGAGATAATAAGTATAAGCAGGGAAGGAAACACAAAAGGCTCAGCGGGCTCATGACACCCTAGAAAATTTCGTTAATAACCTTCTAATTGTATTCTTAATAATAAAACCCTTTATTTTATTTCATGAAGTAGTCTCAATGCATATAACCTTCACAATGTTTTAAACTTACATTTTTTTTTCCTTGTATTGAATATAGACTATAGACCACATAAGCAAAATAACCAATGTAACTTATAATTGCAAAACAAATTACCTTTTTTTTTTCTCTTGACTATATTATCTTCATTTACTTGAATAGTAATAGTCAATTTTTGTATTTTTAATCTTCAATTCTTATGTTTTAATTTTTTTTTCTTGCCCCAACTGAAACAAAATTCTGGCTCCGTCAGTGAGCATAAGAGAAACACAAAACAGTAATCTAAGAAGAATAAGAATAGAAGAAGATTACCAAAAGCAGTAAGTGTTGAGAGAGAAGAACGATTGGACTTGACACGGCAAACTTGGGAGATTAAGTTATCATTTAGCTCTCTTGTCAAAACATCCGACGAAACCACCATCGATTTACTGTCACATATTCCCACCACTCGCAAATGGACTCCCTGTTACTCTAACCAATTAATCAATTCCCAATTCAGCAATTTAATTCATAAATTAATTCGAGAAAGTACCATTTTAGCGTGAAAAGATCGGCAGGAGACAATGTGTTGGAGGAGCTGTTGTCCAACGCCTCCGCATCCCATCAGAATCAGAGGTATATTCTTCATTGTTGTCATCTTTCAGTTGTTGCTTCACATTCAGGTTTCTGTTCTTGCGTGTTCGGAGTTTTACTACGGAAATTGCTTTATACAATACTTGGTTAATTATATTTTAATCGGGTTAATTTTTTTTTTTTTTTTTTTTTTTTTTTTTTTTTTTTTTTTTTTTTTTTTTTGTTTTTTTTTTTGTTTGAGAATGTCAAATTCTGCCCTTGAGGTTTGGCTAACACCCTACTCATGACACTTTTTCAGGAAATCATCAAAAACTACCCTCCAACCCTAACCTCATCAAAAGAAGGTAACGTTCAAAGATACTTGTAATTTCATCTAACATATTTAAAAAAAAATAAGTGACCGTAAATTACTAAGTTTATATAAAATTTTAATTTATGAATTTCCACATCCACGACTGACGACATTAAGTTCAAGGTGTAGGGATGGTAATAAAACCCACTATTCCCACCGAATGGGATTACCCATAAAATTCCAAAGTTGAGGGCGAGGATGGGAAAAGTTTTCATACCTGGTACGGTATCAAAACCCATACCCATACCCGTCCTCAATGATAATTTTCAATTAGTTTATTAAATATATATTATATACATTTATATGACTGTATAAGTTTTTCTTATTTATTTATGAAAATTGGATGAAAACGGTTATATTGAGTAATTAGAATATATATGTTGGGTGTGAGTTTTTAATTTAATAATGTTTGTTTTCATTGTGAGTATAAAAAACAAAACAGTGTTGACTAAAGTTGACCAAATTGTTAACTGTATTCTGTTAACAATATTGGTACAGTTACATTTAGTTGGGCTTTTAGTTGTAACAGTTCCATTTCAGTTGTGTAGTTGTAACAATTGTATGGGCTTTTAGTTGTAACAAATTGTATGGGCTTTTAGTTGTAATTGTTTGTATAAAAGTGTGAAAGTACACTTGAGAAATAAGAAAGTAAATACACAAAAGTATTCAGTTACGTTTCCTCTCAAAATTTGCTTTACTCTTTCTTTCGTTTTTACTTCATTTTCCTAAGCTACTGTCTCAATCATTTAGTAGAGCCATCGACAAACGTCATAATGGCTGATTCCTCTTCAATTCCTCCTCATTTAACAACAACAAAATCACCTCAGATACTGTTAACCTCATCAACTCATCATCAACAAATTCATCACACTTCCAATAATTTCACCAAAGTTGAATCGGGACAATCATCGTTTTTGGAAGTCCCAGATATTGTTCGCAGTAGGAGCCCACGATCTTGAGAGCACTTGACTGGATTAAATCCATGCCCAGCCCCGTTCGTCAGAGCACAATCAGACACTTCAAGCTTAGAGGTAACCAAGAAATCTAATCCTGAATTATATATTGGAAGAGGACTGACAAAATGCTGGTTAGTTGGTTACTCTCATCCATACAGAGTCGATGTTTGCTGTTATTTCTAAGTGTCAATTTGCTACTGAAATATGGCTCACGTGAGAAAAAGATTTCTTACTGAATCTAGGGCTAAGACATTACATGTTAAGAGTCTTTTACAAAATACAGAAAGGAGAACATGAGTATGCATGATTATTTCCTTCGGATGAAAGGTTTTGCAGAGAATTTACATCTAGTGGTGTAGTGATAACAGTGAATGAGATTACTAATTACATTCGGATGGACTAGAGTCTGAATATGATCAGCTGTTGTGAATATCACAACTAGTTGAATCCAAACTTGTCCCATATCTGTCCAAGAAGCACAGATATGTTTTCACAAAACTTGAGCTTAGGCTTGAAAGGGCATGCAACAATGAACTCTGTAGTCATAATGAGTTTCATGGAGGATTAGCTAATGTCGCTGCTCTGTCAGTTGACAATGAGAACAAAAAAACACAACCTGTGTCAATACCTATAACAACAACCTCCACTCATAGCCCTAGCACCTTTAATGTTCCCAATCCTTTCTTCTTGGATCTAACCAAACTCAGTCCAATTATCCACGCCTCAAAACCAATTTTACAATCAGCAATTTCATGGGTAGTTTCAGTAATAGAGGAAGAGGCAAGGGGGGGGGGTGGCAGAGGCAAATTTGTCTGCCAAGTCTGTGGGAAAACAGGACATTTAGCCTTGAATTGTTACCACCGGTTTGATGTAACTTTACAGGAAATAACACCTCAACTAGAAGCAATTTTCAATCTCCAGCTTCAATAGACAACCTTCATTTAACTGGAATTGGGAATTCTGGAATTATAATCTTGGAACTGGAAACTCTTACTATCCAGTTGATGGTCATAGTTCTAATCACCACGTGAATAATCCCCACTCCAGATCCTCAGTGATGTCTCAAACACCTTCCTCATTCCACCAACCACCTGGATCCACAATTGTACATGTTGATAACCAGCCAAACTCACTGCTGTTCATGCTACTGCTCATCTGCACAATCAAGCTTTAATGGCTCAAACTCACTACACAATTCTCATCCTGTAGCCATAAATTACATTGCCACACCTTCTACAGTACATGATTGCGCATGGTACATGGATTCTGGAGCCACAGACCATGTTACCTCTGACTTTTCTCAACTCACAGAACACCAGCTATGCAGGCAGTGAAACAACTCCAGGTTGGCAATGGTGAGCTTCTCTCTATTTCCCATATTGGTTCTGTTGATTTAAATTGTCCATTTAGACTCTGCACCTTAGGAATGTCTTGTGTGTCCCTCACATTACAAAAATCTTCTTAGTGTTTCTAATTACTAAGATAATCCTGTCACTGTTAGTTTTTATTATGATTCGTGTGGTTAAGGACAAGCACTCCAAAGTAACCCTTCTCAAAGGAATGCTTAAAGATGGATTATACCAACTTCAAGCTCCAGTTTATTCATTACCTATCCCCGTAGAAGTTTGGATCAGTCTGTTCAGTTTCAGCACAAAAGTAGCCCAATTTTAAATAAGTCATATAATAAGTCTTGTAGCACTTCTTTTCCTACACAAATGTTGTCTACACAATTGATGCCAGAACATGTTTTTAGTAGCTGTAAATCTGTCTGTGATGATTTACAATATCAAAATTGTATGCAATACAATAGACCACTTGTATCCAATACTGTTATCTGTACTGATGATGCATCTATACTCAATAAAATAATTCTCTTCAAACATTCCCTGTCAATCTACTAATGTCATGTTGTGGCACAACCGATTAGGACATCCTAATTCTCTATTCTTACAAAAGTGCTTGATGTCTTGAAACTACCTTATCCTACTAAGAATGATATAAATTCTGCTCAGCTTGCCATTGGTAAACTACATCAATCTACATATCCTAGATCCACATATCTGCATCTAAACCACTTGAGTTAGTTTACTCTGACCTTTGGCCCTTCCCCTGTTACAACTCCCGAAGGTATAGGTATTACATTCAATTTCTTGATGACCATAGTAGATTCACCTGGCTTTTCCTTTAAAGCCAAATCTGAAACTTTTAGTGTTTTTAAACAGTTATGTCTTAGTTGAAAAGCATTTAACACATCTTTAAAATGTGTTCAAACCGATTGGGGTGGTGAGTATAGGAAGCTAGTCCCTTACCTACAAGAACATGGCATCTTTTTAGACATCCATGTCCTCACACTCACCAACAAATGGTAGAGTTAGAGGAAACATAGGCAAATTGTGGAACAAGGCCTGACTTTGTTAGCTCATAGTATGCCCACTTAAATTTTGGTGGTTTGCTTTTCAAACTGCAGCTTACCTCACCAATAGACTACCCACACCAGTACTGTCCATATATCTCCTTTCCAAGTCTATTCAAAACTTCTCCAAATTATTCCCACATTAAAGTTTTTGGATGTGCTGTCTACCTTCCTTCGGCCATACAGCAGCCATAAGTTTAACTCTTCACCACCAAATGTACCTTTATTGGCTATAGTTTGCATCATAAGGGATACAAGTGTTTGGATATTTCTGGTCGGATTTACATTTGTCAAAGTGTTCAGTTTGATGAATCTGATTTTCCTTTTAAAACATCCAATTTTTCTAGTTCAAGTCTGCACCCCATTCCACAAACACTGAGTCTGTTTCTAGCTTATTTTTCCTTCAGTTTGGTCTATACCTGATTCTGTCTCCAGTGATCTATTAATCCTGTTTCAAATTCACCTTTGTCTGCTTGTCCTTCCACACCAGAACAGTCAATCTCACAGGATATTGCCCCTTTTAGTTCACTTCCTTTATCATCTCCCTGCTCTTCTCAATCTCATCTACCTCAGCCTTTACCATCTTCACAGTTCAGTCCAACCACTGACCTTAATATGTCCTCTACTTCTCTTAACTCTACTTCATCCACATCACCTTTTTATCCCCCTAACTGTAGGATCAGATGAGTCTTATGCATATCCCTCTTACTGTTGAGCTGTCTTTAACCAAGCCTCCACCCCTGCTTGAACACTCATCCCATGCTTACTAGGTCCAAACCAAAGCACATAATACCATCCTTGTTCCCCATCTTCTCTTGACAATACAGAACCAACTACGGTTATAGAAGCTCTTCACATCCTGCCTGGAAAGCTGCCATGCAATCTGAATTTGATGCCTTGCTAGCTAACCAAACTGGGAATTAGTTCCTACTACCTCTGAAATGCATCCTTTAGGTTGTAAATGGGTTTTTCGGATAAGTATAATCCTGATGGTTCCATTCAAAGGTTCAAGGCCAGGTTTGTGGCAAAGGTTTTCAACAAAATCCGGGAATTGATTATCTAGAAACATTCAGTCCCGTAGTTAAGTCACCCACAATCAGAGTTATTTTGAGCTTAGCAGTGAATAATGGCTGGGAAATTCAGCAGGTAGACATCAACAATGCCTTCCTAAATGGAGAACTTACTGAAAAGGTAATATTGACCAACCTGAAGGCTTTGTCAGTTCTCACATCCTCATCATGTGTGCAGATTAGTTAAGGCTCTTTATGGTCTAAAACAGGCTCCTAGAGCCTGGTTTGAGAAGCTAAAAAAGGCTTTTTTAAGCTGGGATTTTGTTCACTCGTAGTTGCTGATCCAAGTCTTTTTGTGTATAAAAAACTGGAAAAGACTATG